CAGTTCCTCCGGTGTACTTGTATTTCCTTAGGTTAGATGCCATTTTGTCTCGAATGAAGCTTTAATATAGTGTATAAAACTGTTAGCCTCCCCTGTGACATAAAATGAGACTTTGTAGGTTGAAAAAAAAAAAAAAAAAACTATTTCTGAAACTCGGTTAGCAGGAGCCTTCAGAAACACGCCCTACTCCATTGCTGGCTCGCTAGCGCCCCCGCTTTTTGTTGTTTTGTCTGTGTTTTGTGTTCATAGAAATTATTTTTGAGATAGTTGAGATTCTGACATTTCTGTGGATACTGCACGTCTCTATTTAAACACCAGGCCTGGCAGCAGTTTCCTATGAAACTGAAGAGACATGTCTCCTGTCAGCTTGCTGGATGAACAGTGATATGTGAGTATGCTGAAGAAATATCCACGCATCCAAAAAACTGAATCAAGATAAATGAAAATTTTGCAGCATGAGAAGCAGATGCTTTAACAAAGAAAATAAGAATTCAATTCTGAGCTCAAAGATTACCATGTTCACACTGATGTAATTGTCATAACTATCCTTCTTTAGTCATCCTGCACAAAGGGAATACTGGCTGGGACATCAAACTTGGTTGCTCAGACTGATCATACTGTGTGTCTTCCACTGCACACTACACAAGAGTACACCAACAGAACTCCCCAGGACAGAAAGTGACCCAGTACAATTGTAGAATTTTGACAAAACCACTTTGAGACTACTCTTTTCAAGTCACATAGTTTTGTGAGCATGGAGTATTTATTTGTAATTCAATGTCCTCTGTGTAATACGCAGTGATTCCAAGAAACATTTAGCAGCATCTGTTCTCTTGGCCATTGTGTAAGACTAAAAACGTTCACTCGCTATGTTGCTGTGGAGGAGTGCTGCCATCTAGTGGCAAATACAGAGTCCTAAGGAAAGAAGGCATTTAAATATAACAGAAGAGGAAGAAGCTATGAGAATAAAGCCCTTTTTGATTAATTGAATGTATAATTTTTGAATAATAGGCGCAGACTGTATTCAGTCCTGTTACAGGTTGCTTTGTGCTATACCAGGGGTCAGCAACCTTTGGACCCGGTTTCCACGCAAAAGAAAACACTGGGAGCCGCAAATACTTTCTGACATATGATGATAACACTGTGTATATTGTTTTTTACCTTTATGCTTTGTGTGAACAACTAAGGTGTGTTGCTTATGAAATCCATGAAGTGCTACAGAGAAAATTACATTTTATTTATGTAATTAACACATTTTGAACTCTTAAAGAAATATAACAAAAGGAAAGCTGACCTAAAATGATCCAGCAAACAAAAACTGTTGTGAGACTCCACCCTTATATCGCCTTTGTGCTTTTGGAGCCTTGACCCGACTTTTAAAAAAATAATAATTGGAAAAAAACACTATGCTGCTAAAAAAAACAAAAAACAAACAAAAAAAAAAACCTAAAATAGATATTTGCAAAATTCTGCCTAAATATGTATTTTACCTGGTTATTGTGTGTGGCAGGGCGTGGTCTGCAGCGCCGCTGCAGGGGAGGCAACGCCCCTGAGCGTCCTTAACGTCTGTGCTCTCTATGCTGTTGTGTTGGTATGTGTCGGGCTGTGAGCTGATAAGCTACAGCCGGCTGTGTGCGTACAGCAACCGTGTGTGAAAAGTGGTTAATATAGAGATGCTGAAAAGCGTGTTCATGCAAACATCGTCGGGTCTGCCGTGATATGTTTGAAACGGGACTTCTGCTCCTGAACCTCTGCGCACAGCGTCTGCAGATCGGGGCTGTACGAAGTCACTTTCATCTTTACAGGACTGTAAGCTGTCGTCTGTGAGGCGTGAGCGCTGTTTGTTTTAACATAGTTCACGGTGGAGCTGCTGACATAATGTGGATCCGAAGATCCATAATTGGCCTACCTGGGGTTGAAAGTCTCGATAAATGCACGGCGTTTCGGCGGGTACACCGGCTTCTGCGAGTGTGACGCTTATTATGAGTGATGAAAAAAAAATATATAATATAATTTAATTTATATATTTCAATATCACCCTAATCTTCCAATTTAGAACTACAAGTTAAAAAGAACTAACATAAATAAATTAAACTTCAGCTAAATACTTCTAATTTATTTTCCCAAACCACGCGGAGCCGCACTATAAGGACTAAAGAGCCGCAGGTTGCCGACCCCTGAGCTATACCAATGGTGAAAAACAACTTACACTATCTGACTGATCTGATTGTCACTCAGTCCTTGTTGCACTGAGATCTGATATTCAGCCTGTGTCTTATTAAAACAACTATCAGCATCAGCATTTATATTAGTCAGCTGCTCTTTCATTTCACTGATACTGTACAAGTTAGATATTTTTATCTCAACAACATAGCATGAAAAAAAACTGCATGCAGAATTTTCCAAACACTGTTTTGTAGTGTTCTCTGACAACTGTCAAAGAGGGATTCTACACTATATATACACTATATACAATCCAGTGTAAAAAAAAAATAAAAAAAGTAAATATGTAAATAAATACATGGGACTGTGTTATCGGTGCGTGTGTGACTTCATGGTGGTTATGGTCTTTGGGAGGAAACTGTTCTTGAGTCTGTGGATCTTTGTGCTGATGCACCTTCCCTGAGAGAAGCAGTTGTCTCTCTGCTTTCTGTAAGGTGGGGGTGTGGAATGTGGTCTGTCTATCTCCCCTGTCTTAGACACAGAGTCTCCTGCTTACAATCTTCTCTTCATGATTCAACAATTAAGCATGTAATACATTCACAGCAGATCAAGGATACAGAGTGGTGCACACTTGTCTAATAAACTAATATGTGAATATGTTCTGTTAACTCAAAAGTATAACGAGAACTAAACTACATACAGCTCACACACTCTATATTAAAGGGTATAATATGATCTACAGCAGTATTCTAATTCAACTACTTTGATTACATATATAAGGTAACATATGATAACAGAATAATATCACAACATGTTGAAACCAGGGTGGGAGCTATCTTTGATGATGTTTGCTGCTCTGCTGAGGCAACGGGAGGAATAAATGTCCATCAGGGAGGGGAGAGGGCAGCCGTTGATCTTCGGTGCTGCCTTGACTACACTCTGAAGCCTCACCTTGTCCGTCTTAGTGCAGCTGTCGTACCTGTGATGCAGTATGTAAGCAGGCTCTCAATAGACGAGCGGTAGAAGGTCAGCAGCAGGTTGGAGTCCAGCTTGTACTTCCTCAGGACCTTCAGGAAGTGCAGCCACTGTTGGGCCTTCTTGATGACCGCTGAGATGTTGTCTGTCCAGGAGATGTCAGCAGAGATGAGGACACCAAGGAACCGGATGGTGTGGACCCTCTCCACACGCTCCCCGTTGATGTAAAGGAGTCTAAGTCAGTGCTGTGCCTCCTGAAGTCGACAAAAACTTCTTTGGTTTTCTTAGTGTTCAGTGCCAGGTTGTTTTCTGAACACCATGCTGCCAGCTTCAGGACTTCCTCTCTGTAGGCTGCCTCGTCTCTCTTTGGGATGAGTGCGGCTCAGCACACAGCCCTGTGGGGAGCTGGTGCTCAGTGTGCGAGTGGAAGAGAGATGAGGGCGGAGTCTCACAGTCTGGGGCCGGTTTGTGAGAAAGTCCTTTATCCAGGCACATGTGAGAGGAGCAAGGCCAAGAGTGACCAGCTTTGTGATAAGGATGTCCGGGATGATTGTATTGAAAGCTGAGCTGTAGTCCACAAAGATTCGGATGCAGCTCTGCCGCTGCTCTAGGTGACTCAGCACAGCGTGGAGGGCTATCACCATGACATCTTCTGTGGATCTGTTTGCACAATATGCAAACTGGTAGGGGTCAAATTCTGGGGGCAGGTAGTCCTTGATGTGCTGGAGGACTAGTCTCTCAAAGCATTTCATGATTACCGGCATGAGGGCCAATGTTCCCTCAAAGCTGCGTGTGTGCACAATTGTGCACTGCTGGCACGTCTCTGCGCACAGAAAATCTGCATTGTGGACAAACAAAATCTACCTGAATTGAAATTAAAACTTTAACAACTCTGTTTTGCAGTGTTAGTCAGTATGTGACTGGCTGCTCCCCTATGGGATTAGAACAGGGGTGGGCAATCTCAGTCCACGAGGGTCGGTGTCCCTGCAGGTTTTAGATCTCACCTTGGGTCAGCACACCTGAATCACATGATTAGTTCGTTACCAGGCCTCTGGAGAACTTCAGGACATGTTGAGGAGCTAATTTAGCCATTTAAATCAGCTGTGTTGGTTCGGGGACACGTCTAAAACCTCCAGGGACACCGGCCCTCATGGACTGAGATTGCCCACCCCTGGATTAGAACGATGCCACCTTATCCCATAGTCCAGCCAATGATGCGATTCACATTCGTATATACGCAGCTAATCAACGTGGTTGACAGGCTCTGACTATTTTTCCTTCCAATAGTGTTAACATACTGCACAGGCCATGAACAAGATTTATTTAAGTTTTCATTGTAAGTGGGCTAAAGTATGGGCTCAAAATGTGGTCATAAATATTTTGTACTTGTAAATCAGTTTCGTATGTGTAAAAAGAATTTGTGTGCGTAAAAAAGATTTGTGTGTGGACTTAGCAAAAAAAAAAACCCCTGCAAGTTACAAGTACGAATTTTGACCCCATTTTTCTTCCTTTCATCTGATTGGTCAATGTCATGTCAATCACAAATGTAACAATCCAATCAGAGAACAGATGGGTTTGGCTGTCAGGGGGGCACTTTTTTGAATTCACATTTAATTAATTCATCTTTGATTGAACTTTTTTTCCCTCAGGTTGGATTGTGTGAGGTGACCTGAGTTCACCCTGGGTATACATCTGCACAGGTAACCACCACAAGAAAAACATATATATAATCATTCTTACTCACCTTTTGTTTGATTCATATTTGAGAGGAATAATAAATCCATCCATCCATTCTTTTCTGTTTATCCTTTTCAGGGACATGTCCAGAGACAGACAGCTCCTTGTATAAAGATGACACTTTTGAAGGCAACACTCTCATTACCATGGCAACCACCTACTGGCCTCCGGTCAAGCCTGAAGAGTTAGAGAAAGGGGCTAGAGTGCATTTTATAGCACCAGATTTATGTCCCTGTTTTCGTCATTTCGAGCGGATTGGAGACCAAAACAACCAATCAGTTTTTTTTTGCATCCAAGTCTGTGATTGGCTGGTTTTGTGGCACAAATATAACGGTGTACAGAAAGAGTTGAGCGCGCATGGGCAGAAATGTTGAGAGCGCGAGCAACACAACGCGAGGAAGCGCCAATGCAAAAACTGAGGAGAGGGGCTGCTGTGTGCGTGTGTGGATAATAGCAAACACTGAAATACAGTTTTTGCACGCAGGAATGCTTTTCTTTTGAGCTTTTCTTTTGAGCTTTTCTTCGCTCAAAATAAATTTCTCCTGAAAATGCAACACTTGCACCTGCAAACTTTTTTTTACGTGCGCTCAGAATAGTGGCACAAAAATAACGACACATCCGGGGATTCTGAGCGTACTCGGGCGGCGACTGATGACGTTGACTGATCGGGATTGGGCTGTGGGTTTGTTACAGTTGTCGGCTTTTCTAACTTCGACGAAACTCCAGCTGACGCGTGCTGGTGGTAAATTGTTTTTGTTTAGGTGTTTTTTTTGTTTTGTTGTTGTGTTTTGCTTAGTTTAATTAATCAGACAAAGGTTCATGTAACTTCAGAGGAAGAAGCGGCAGAGTTTGTTCAGGAAGTTTCGCATTCATTAAACTCTTCAAACCATGGCGTGCGCGGTGAACGGCATGTCAGGTAAGCTCGCCTTACCGGCAGATGACTTCTTGTGTCATTGTTGCTTTTTACTGCGCCTGCAGTGTAACTACGGAGAACACGGACCTGTTTTGTTTTTACTCTTCCACAGATGAGAGAATCGGGGAAGCCCTGATCAAAGAGTGAGTTCCGTTCTATGCTTTCATCGTTGCTCTTTCCCAGTCGCTTTGCTCTTTAACCACCTACCGCAAAGTGCTCAGTGATGTTTTACAATAAATCTTTTTTGGTTCCTTAAGATGTTGGAGCACAGTAAAAGTGATTACGACTTTTGGGTTACACTGCTTTTCTTAGTAACTAAGGAAAGCAGTAAGATTATGTCTTTCATCATTAAAACTCTTGATAGAATTATTCAGTCATTAGACATTTTTAAACATATTTATTCCTGTGGTAGCTCATGTGCAGATATTGTATTTATTTTAACACATAATAATACGTTTTAACCCAACCCTGTTCAAGTCCTTATCTGAATTAAGTTTCATTTTCATCTTACAGGAACTGCAATTATCTTTTCACGTAAACTGCACCAGTCATAAAAAAACTGTGTGTCATAGAATTATTGGCCTTTTTCTACAGGCTAAGTATAGATGTCAAATCTCTTAACATGTAATCTAATTTTTAGTATGTGTTGATGCACGCTCAATCATCCAGATACGTAAATCCCAAAAGGTTGATTCTGTTCATCTGGACGTTTTCAGTGGGACAAATGTTTCGTCGCTCTTCCAGGTGACTTCTTCAGTCTGCAGGTTTCCCGGGCCATTCTTCATTCGCTACGTCCAGATGATCAGAATCAAACTTTTGGGATCATTTGTAGTAATTGTACAGCACTTCGTATTCCATCCTGACATATATACTATCCTGGAATCAGTTATTTATTGTTTAGAACATCCTTTGAAATAGCTTTAAAAACACTCTTTGTGTGAACTAACACCAGGGTTTGACTACACAACGAATTTATGTTGATGAGGCTGACATGCCAACTGCAACCTCCCCGGTGTTTGGACATTTTCCTGCATTAGATACATTTGGGAACATTGATCCTATGCCGTTTTCCTGCATCTGAGTCCTAATCCTAAAATCCTTGCTCCAGGGCTGTTTCTTATATCAAACGCATGATTTTCATTCATCCTCCTGGCTTTAATCTGAATTGCCTCGCTGTTTCATGAAACACTTTCACACCTATATTGGTTTATATATAATCGGTGCGCTCTCAGAATGTTGGTTCTTACTGACAACTGGCTGCATCTTTGTGATTGTGACTTCACAGTAATTTTCCTCACTTAGTAAATCTGTCTAATAGCATATACAAAATTAAGTACATGTTATTTTCTAATATTTACCTGCTTTGTCGTTCCTGTAACTACAGTAACATTCTTTCCACCATCACTTATCCCAGCTGAATATTTAAGTAAAAATTAATTGATATTAATCCTGTAGAGGGCAGTACAGCATTAGTAATGAACACTGATTATGCAAAACCTTAAAGTAAACCTTCAATTATAAAAGGTCACTACTCACAAGACTTAGAGCCCATGTCCATTCAGTGTAGGCCCTTTTCTAGCTACCTTGTGAGGGCATCCATATTGCTGCTGGGGACTTTAATAAGGCATGTGTGAAATCTGTACTCTTCAAATTTCACCAACATGTGTCCTACTAGTGGGACAGATGGCGAATGCCATCACTAGCAACCTTCACAGAGCACTGAGCCATCTGCAGAACAGGAAGAGCTACGTCAGGATGCTCTTTGTGGACTACAGCTCAGCATTGAACATCATAATCCCAGACATCCTTACCATCAAACTGCCTTCAGACTCCCCTTGCTACCTGCTCCTCGATCAATATCCCCTTTTAGTAGCTACTCCAGCGGTCCCCAACCCCTGGGGCACGGACCGGTACTACTCCATGAGTCGTTTGGTGCTGGGCCGCGAGAGTTGAGGCTCGGGTGTGAAATTTATGGTTTTCAGGGGTTTTATCGTTAACTCGGTTCCCCTGGGTCTTTCCCGTGTTGTAGTTGTGTGTCTTATTTTGAAAGAAATATGTACGCGTTACCATAGCGACCAGAGAGCATTAAGGGGCAGTGAGGAGGACGTTACTCTCAGTGTTGTTGGCGCACTTCAGGAGGAAGCTGCTAAAAAATGTACACAATTACACAGTGAATTAGTTTATTATTATATTTACAAAGTACCACAGTTTTTGTCTCGGATCATTTTATTTTGTTGTATTCATCTGCCACGCCTTAAAGGCCGGTCCGTGAAGATATTGTCTGACATTAAACCGTCTGTGGAGCAAAAAATGTTGGGGCCCGCTGATCTACTCAGATCAACTGGTTTTCCATTACAGAAGAGCACTGTAATGTGCGTGGCTGTCGTCATAGCAATACGTAAATAACATGCGACACAGGCGCTACAACAAAGGTGGATTTCAAGGCAAGAATATATCTGCTGCTTGGTCTGTGGCGTTCATCAGACTCGGGGATCACGGTGTTGTTTTTCAGCCATTTCTCTCGTTTCCAGGTTTCAAAAATGGCGGTTTTGATTTTGGTGAACGAGACGCATTGACTGATGACTTTTTTAGTACCTGCTCACCCGGGAACCAGGTACTAAAAAAGTACTTGATACGAAGTCAAATATGCTGATGACACCGTGGTAGCGCTCATTTCTGATGGAGATGAGATGCCGTACAGTAGCTGTGCAGTTAGCGATGCAATCACTGTATTTTATCCAATAAAATAATCTCTTTTCCCAAGCACATCCAAACAGTTTACAGCATCACAGGTTACCACATGCCATTATCCCACAGCTAATCACATCAGCTGATTTGTGTTGTTGCTTTGTGTTCATACCTAAATACTAAGAGAAAGATCACATGTGTCCTCATTAGGAGAGTGATTTGTGCTGCTGATATAAACCTACGGGCCTGCACGTTTATATTGTTAATCTTTAATTATGAGACGGTGTGCTTCAGAGTAACATGAAAACAATGTAACAAGTAGTATAATGAATTTCTTTCTCATGGGTGTAACTTACTGCATTCCTTAAGTTCTCTGTAAGATGTGTAATAATGTTTTTTTAGTAATGACGCTAACACTGAAGACAACAAAGAGGGGAAATACGTCTGACGTGAACAAACATTTGACCACGCAGTCTTTGGCATTCTGCTTAGAGGATACAAATGTAATCTTTACTGAAATTGATCTCAGTATTTCTAGTAAGGCAGATTATGGACATCGTGGTGGGGGGATTTGATATTTAGTGGACTGGGGGAGGCATGGGTCAGAGGAGTGTTCCTAGTTTCCATATCACAGGCCTAAAACCAGCAGGCCTGAAAAACACTCCCCCTGTGTTAGGGCTGCTCGATTATGGCAAAAATGATGATCACGATTATTTTCACTGACATTGAGATCTCGATTATTTGACGATATTTATTTAACAATAACAATGTGTTGAATAATGACTTTAAAGATTGTCAAAAAACAATATAAAACAGTGTGCAAATACTGATAGCAGTGCAAATGTTTGCAATATAAAAATAAATGAAAAATGTAAAATTCTGTGTTTAGTGAACTTTGCAGTGTTGCTCTGTGGTGCAGCTACACTGTAGCAAAGTTTACACACTGTGTCTACTTGATCCACGTCTGACTCCGCCAACCCATAATGTTTCCACACCACTGAAGTTTTTTTACCGCTTTTCAACCAACAGCAGTCACTCTCCTCTCCAAATAACTTCTGCTTAGCTTTCCGAGCTTCCCTCGGGTCCTCTTAATTGTTGTGTTGCGTGTTCGAAACGCAGAGAGGTGCGCTCGATTTGCCACACGGAGCAGCGCGAGAGTAAAGCACGAGGGAGGGGCTAATAATCGGCTCAGTCATTTTTAATGATCGTTGAAAGCCCAGATCGTAATCGAGATTAAAATTCGATTAATTGAGCAGCCCTAACCTGTGTTCCACCTGCAGACAGCGTTTACATCAACGTCTGCCTTTGGTGACTTTTTGGCAGCAGCTGTGACATTCAGCAGTGCCCTCATCGTTTTGACACACAAAACAATAACTACAGTACACACTAACTACACAAGACAGCACAACCCACTCTAAACACACTAAACGCCACAAATCTCTCGTCTCAAAACTTGCTATGGATATCGCTCGCTTGCTCTCCCTCGCCACCATCACTTATAAACTTTCTCCTCTTCCTAAACAATCAAATGTCACAAGTTGCCATATTATTTTTTGATTGGTTAACATGGTACATTTTTCCACCAATAGGAAAGGGATGTCATGTGTTTTTGTTTTGTTGTGCTTGCGAGCGTTGTCCTTACAAAATGCACTTTAACCGTTTCTTTCCACAGTAAATGTGTAATGTAAAGTGTCAAAAACCTTAATGATTCTGAGTGGGAACACTGTTTAGCTAATATTAGTCTAAGAAGCCATGTTAAGCTCAGAGTTAGGGTCACGGGTACCTAATTGTGTGTTCTCTAACAGAGTCATAGAGGAAGAGCTGAAGGATGTGCCCTCAGAGGATGTCCCGCCTCTCACTCCACTGGCTGTGGAGGGGAAGACTGAGCAGGAGGAGAAGCTGGTCAAGCAGCTGAGCAAAATGATACGTATCGTCGGTGACAGAGTGCAGCATGACCAAGAGTTTCAAGAGTGAGCTTTTCATCCTCAGATCTCATGTTAGCAGACTGCTTTAGTACAAAAATACTGTAGATTATTGGATGAATGCAGCAGATTAATGTTGGCTCAATAAGCATTTACAGCGTACAGTTTGATTAAGTAGAGATAAGTAGACGTCCTGCTGATGGAAGTTGTGGTGTGCAGACAAGTGTTTCATGTCTCTGTCATAAACTAGAAACGTCTGTCAGTCAGAATGCAATTTTAAGGGCTCTACATGTTTTCAAAAACAGGTTGCTTACATTGTGGCTGTTCTGTTGCAGTGTGATAGATGGTGTGGCTTCTGGCTCTGGCTCCAAGTCAGAGAACTTCAGACGAGTGGCAGACAAAGTGTTTGAGGACGGCATCACCTGGGAGAGAATCGCTGTGCTCATCTATGTAGCCGGCAGGCTTGCTGTCAAGGTGAGTTGGTTTCAGTTTCCAGGACGTCTGAGAATCTAAAGCAGTCGTTATTGTTTTAGTGATTTCATTGTTATTTTAGCATCATTAGTAGGGATGGGAACTGAGAACCAGTTTTCTACAGAAGCAGTTCCTGGTAGTTCAGATCCTTTCAATAGGGCTTCGGAGTTGACATCACGCCGCAATGCATTGTGGGAGCGCGGCGGCATTTTCGGGGTCTACGAATCAAAACAAACACACTGTGTTGGAACGACGATTACAAGATGCTTAAAAGCTGCTCAAACGAGAATGGACTGTATAGAGACCGATTGCGTCCAGAGGCGAAGC